CCTTTTTGGTTATGTCAATCAAATCTTAACAACTAACATGCAATTTCGTTGTTAAAAACCTAAGTCGGATGTAAATCACCTATAAATAATATAATAATACTCTTGTCTCAAAGACTCGGAACATAAAGCATCGATCCGAATTACTTCAATTACAAGCATATTCCTTGTCATGGACGCTTCAAACCCTAAGCGACCTCGCCATGAGGTTTCTTCCTCAATCCAAAACCCTAGTTCTCTTCCTGTTGCTCCAAGTTCCAATCAAAACCACTTCGATTTGATTCTCTCTGCTTTAGTCTCGTTCCCGGCTTCATCTGCTTCGTTATATCCTCGCCGGTCTCAATTGGCCGATCCTTGGATCCAGCGGTCGATAAAGCTCTTGCCTCAGTTTCTGGTGATGTCTCCGAACGTACTCTCGAACTCGTCTCGCTTCTTCACGAGTCTATTAAACGGTTCTTTCGGAACCAAGCTACTGGTTGGAATTTCAGTTACTGGCCACTTCCTCAGGAACTCACCACTAAGGTTAAACGCACTTGCGTTATTGAATCGTGAGATAGTTCTTTTAGGGTTTTGATGGACTCTCAATTATGCATGGCCTCAATGTTTAAAAATTGAGAGTTCTCAAAGTACTGATTTTTAGACAATGTTTTTCCTTAATGGGTTTTATGGATGTGTTTTTATGTCTCCCATCTAATCTCGTTGTCTATCTAAGAATGCGAGCGATGGCATGCTGCACAATGTTCCACAAGTATGCCATGGAACCGTCATGTTACTCTCACATCAACTTGACAACATCTGCCAAAAACGTCAATGAAGAAGTGTGTACCATGATCCATCGGGCTGGAAAACAACTCAGGTGATGTTTTGTAATTCAAGAAACCATATATGGTTCTAGATGCTTGTTTTGTACTCATGTCTCAGGGTTTTTGTTTATGTATGCAGATTCCTTGAACTTGGTGATGTTGAAGCGGATAAATCTACTAAGCCTTTGCTTACAGGAGCTTGCTTCTACCACTATCAAATAGTTTTATTGGGTATTGCCTTGTCGTATTAGTATCTTGAAAATCTTGTTGAATCCTTTCAATTGTCACTACTTCTTGCTTAGATATTTTTTGTTCTTATTCGGTGTCATTTTTTTCTCATTGAACTAGGAAATACCTGAGAAGCATGCACCTTTACAACATCGGATATCTGCATGAGAAGTCCTCCGTTGCTGCTTTCTCAGCTTGTTCAAATATCACTGATGTGAAGATTGTTGGAACGTAAGTTGTCTTGAATCTCAGAAAGTTATATGTTTCCTTCTTTTTCGATGTTCCTTAACATATTGCTTGTGGAACACTTCTCTCACGTATTACGCGATTTTGTGTTTCATGTGATAGGTATAAACTAACTGACCATCAACTTAACTCACTGAATAAAAACTGTCGCTTCATAGAGCACTTCTTCTATGAGATTTATAGTTGCCCACGTAAGAAATCTTTTCTAATTTGAAGCTTTCCTTTTTGTTTATACTGAAGCTTACCTTTTTGTGTTGTAACAGCTAGATCAAGAGAAGAAACACCAGCCTTGGTACAGTTCTTGACTAACATCCCGAACGTAACCTCGCTAACAATCTTAGGTCTTAAAGTAAAAGATGCAACAGCCCAAAATCATAGCTGAGGTACTATGTTCTGGCATTTCTTCTTTCTTCGGTTGGTACTTGGTAGCATCTATACGCTTTTACCGAAACCCAATTTTTTTTGTTTTGTATGCTTTTGCAGAGTGCTTGTAAACTTAAGTACTTGAATCTGTCTAGAAACACTACGATCAAGGGTCGATTTTTGAGGTTTATTATGTTTGCCTCAACAAATTGTTAATAAAGCTATTTCCTTATATGGATTCTTTTCTTTAGCAAGATTTCTTCTAACATTTTTGATGGGGGTAGGGATTGGGGAGATAGCTTGAAAGCCAATTCACTCGAGACTCTAATACTGCGTGACTGCTCTTCTCTAGATGAGGTAAAGAAACCAAAAGACATAACAAGTGTTTTTAGTTGTTGAATCATAATCTTAATCTCACACTCACTAACCTTTTGAAATTGCAACATTTTTCAGAAAGAAGTTTTGCAGTTTCTGAACTCGCTATGATCCACAGGAAACTTCGAATTCATTAGGCACATTGTAAGTTGTTACAGAAAATTATGGTTAATAATCTGTGTGAAAAGAAAGGTATTACTCTGTTTACTACTACTACTAATAATCTTCTTCTTCTCCAATAGGACATTTCGAGTAATCAAGGCTTGTCATCTCATGGCGGCAAAAGAGCACTCAAACCAAAGTAACTGATTGATTTGTTCACTTGTGGTTTTTCTTAGAATAACTCAAAGAGTAATTAATATTCCATTGTCATGGTAATTATTGTTTTGTTAGGTTTCCTCTAGAGATGCTAAAAGAAGAAAGACCAGAAGTCAAATTTGTGGCAGATTTCAGAACAACATTATCAAGGTTCCATTTATTTTGTTTGCTACTATTGTATTTTAAAAAAAATATTAATCATTCGAATTTAACAAAAAGGGT